TTAACATAATAGTCAAGTCGTCAGAGATTTGATCTCTAAAAACCAGACGAACAAGCCGAATTTTGCTGAGAATGTTAAATTTTGGGACCCCAAAACAGATGCAAAAAAAGTTTACCACTCCTATCCCCTGGCTTCCCCCTGAAACGACCCCCCGTAGGGCGGGGAAAACGGAAAACATCTATTTGACAAGAATCTGTAGTAGCTTAGGTAATGTTGAACAAAAATATTTATTGTCACTTTTTGTGTAGAATGAACCGTTCTCAGAAACAATGTTTGAAGCAATTTTTTTAAATAAAATTTGTATTCAACGGTAAAAATACGATATCTTTTGATCAGTGTCCTATCAAGAAAAATCAAAACGTTTTGAAGTTGAGAAGTACGCGTAATTGACATTCAAAATTGCTGATTGCTTTCAATATCCAGCTTTCAGCTTTTAAATTTTACAAAATTAAAATTAAAAATTTCTTTATCTTTTCAATTAAATAAAAAAAGTAAATGATTCCAGTGTTGGAAGGAATGAATAAAGATAAGGAACTACCAACAGTTGAAAGAATTAAGGAACAGTTAAGCGAAGAAAAACTGTTTATTTTGGCCATATCTCTAGAAATGATAATTATTATGATGTAGATGAAATGAAAGAAGCAGGTGGTGTCTTGTGTGACAGAAAGATTCCAAAGAAACTGAAAGAAAAATTCTATAAAACTGCCATAACACCAGCTTTAATGTACGGAACAACTGAATGTTGGTCAGTTAAAAAGAAAGAAGAATTTATGTGACGGATATAAAAAGGCTTAGATAAATGGGGGAGTGATAAAAAATTAAAAAATCAAGAAATGTGCATATTAGAAGTATTATAGGATTGATACCAATTGATTGGAAAATAAGAGACCATAGGTTAGGATGTTTAGGAAATGCATAAGTTGGAAAGGATATTCACCTAATACACGTTATAGGAAAAATAACTGAATTGCAAGTTAATAAAAGCAGTAGAAAAGAAGATAACTGTTAGGAGACGGTTAGGCAGGAGATGTCTGTGAAGGGAATTGACTGGTCGGTCTGACCTAATAGAAATATGGAGAAACATTATTACGCAAGCCGACACCTGATAGAAATAAAGGAAAGAGAATACGTAAAATAGTTTCGAAACACAATTCAGATTTCTGCTTATAATCTGAGCCTTCTAAAAATTGCAAGGCAAACAGACGTTGATAAAAGATGTTAAAAGGGACATGGGGAATCTAAAATTTGCATTCCACGACATGTCTTTTACAACTAAGCAGAAATCCTTAGCGAATTGTGCTTCTTGTACTCACACAGAGTATATTCGAAATAAAATGAAAAAGAGCAAATATTTGATTTCACGCAAACAACTCCTATGTATCTGTTGATACGTATTTCGACCTAATAGGTCTCATCAGAACAGTTATTCATACGTGTTCTCAACGTGAAAAATCAATATTTTCTGTCTTTTAAGAAGCAACAATAAAATAGCTTCAATACCGTCGCGATAGCGACATCTAATTATAAAATCCGTAAAATAGTTTCGAAACACAATTCAGATTTCTGCTTATAATCTGAGCCTTCTAAAAATTGCAAGGCAAACAGACGTTGATAAAAGATGTGAAGAATATTTGCTGTCTTTTTCATTTTCATTTTTGAAAGAGAATACATTAATTAAACAAAATTCTTTGTTGTGGACGGATTAGCTTAAAAATATTTATTTTCGAATAAAAATTTCGCAGAATTAGGTCACGGGCCTTTCACTACTTCTATGGGGAGCATTCACTTACCTCGTGTAGCTAAGGTGTCTAGTGAATATCTATAAGTAGTCTGTAGTAAGTATCTCTACATTAAATTGCAATCGAAGTTTTTGTTTCATTTATTTGTTTTTTAGAGAAGTGCTCAAATGTATCCCAGGTTTCTCGGTATTGATTAAGACAAATAAGTTTTTAATTTGTAGGGCAGTTATATTTTTCTGGGAGATTAGTAAGCGCACAATGGAGTAGAAAGCAAATCTTAGGAAGTCTATTATTATTAATTTTTATTCAGTAACCAGTTCAAGTACCATTTAAATACATTGTATACAATTTTTGGATTGGATTTGGATTTTCTCCACAATATTATAATACCGTAGTCCCCAAACGTATACAATTAGCAACAATACTTGAAACTAGGGATTCAAAAAGGTGAACTATGGAGGCAACAACGGATTTTACTTCTTAAAGTAAAAGTAGTACGACAGCGGTGGCAAGTTTCACCGAGATAGGTGAACTTATTAGTGACATCAATTGTATGATTTTTACACAAAAACTCTGAACCTACATACTTGTGTCCCTGCTTGGAAAAATGCATAAGTTTATTTTAGTGTGTGTTTACTTCTAGTTTATTTAAGTTAGAACAACTATATAAAATAATGAGTTTATTTCCGAATCTGCGAGGATAACAATGTCATCTGTATACATCAACATTAATAGTTCAGTATTTTCATCTGTAGGAAGGCCGCGACCGCCTTTGTCTTTGAAGTAATACTCTTTGTCAGAAAGAAACATTGAGAATAAAAGAGGGCTTAATACTTCTCCCTGGACCACTCCTGATTCGACGAAATATATAGATGTGTAAAAGCCATTAGTTCGAACACGTGTAGTGGCATTCGCGTAAAAATTCTGCGAAATGACAGCGAAGGGGATTCTCAAGGACCTCCAACAAGAAACTACGAACAACATCCAGATGTGGAGTGTGTCTCCGTGAAAAGGGTAGAAAGTTCAAAAAAAAAATGTGTGAAATGCGACATTTTTCTTTTTCTTGAACATTGTGTATATTTTTGTTCTAAATGTGCAAATAATTGTTAATTATGCTATTTAAACAAAAGTTCATAGTTACTTTTTATAACATTTGTATTTTTTTTATTCTATATCTGTAATAAAAAATTTGGTAACAAAAATTGTGGTAGTGGTTTAAAGATAAACTGAATTTTAGTTAATTTTCTGAATCGTTGAATTTTTTAACGTAAATTTTTAAAATGATTTAACTTTGAAAAAGAATATATAACAAAATAACCATGATTTAAAATCTTAAGGTTGCATGTAAAAATAAAATATTTTCTCAATTTTATAAATAAAAAAAGGGGGTGATAATTACCCCAAGACACAGCTCCTGCCAGAAAATTTCACCACAGTCACCAGGATAAAATAGATTACAGAAACAAGGCCTGACACAAACAGAACAAAACAATATTGATAGAATTGAAGAAAAATATTGATGGAATGGCGCAAAACAGATTAGAATGAATATCTCCAAGAGACGAATCACCAATAGAAATCAAGTAAACAGTTGAGTAAGCTGAAAAACACTGATGTGACTGTTCAGAAAAGACTGAAGATTAAAGAGGCACTTCGCCTAGAGAAATGAAGGAGAATATTTTAAGACTTCGTTTCAACTTTGAGTAATTTACATATCAATTTTGGAGATTATTTCTCGTTTTTAACTCGTTTTTAAAAAATAACTTCCGCTTTACCGGTATTATTTTATTCTCAAACGTTTCTGTATGTTATAATTTAAAAATAAACCATTAATTGCAAACCGCAAAACCATAAAACTGCCAATAATCATTAACGTCCTATAAATACCGACACAACAGAATCTAAACAAGAAATTAAAAAAGCAATTCAATCTTTACTTATTATCATTAAAGATGCCTGCAAATCAATGGACTGGATAAATCTCAAGTTCAGCCATAAATAGAAAAAAAAATCCTTTACTTAGCCCGATTAGGTCAACGTTACAATGTCAGCCATAAAATTCAATTAATTTATTGAGAGTCAAGAAAGGTCAGAAAATCGATCTATGCACTGGTTAAATTATTATTTTGTAATAAACTGTCATTCGTTTTGATAAATGATCCCTAGCATAAAGCAAAAGTTTGAAAGAGGGTATTTATAAAAGCACCTTAAATATGTCACATGACTTAAAAAATTTAATTTTTAGAGAGAATCACGAGTAGCACCGACATAAATATTGCACTGGAAAATAAAAAAAAGTTTCTTCTTCTTCTTATAGTGCCGTGCACCTATAGTACGTTTGCGAATTATCTTAAGGCCAGACTTCTGTCTTTTGCGGCATGCAAAAGATCGTCAGTGTTATTTATGCCAGTGCAGTTTATTATGTTCCGTAGCCACGACATTTGTTTGCGAGCTACTCCTCTCTGGCCTTTAATCTTTCCCTAGAAAATAATTTAGGGATTACGTATTTTTTTCCTCTGAGAATATGGCCGAGATATCCACTTGTTCGTACCTTGATCAAATTTAGTAGTCTCTCCCAGTATTTGCCTTTCTTAAGACTTCCTCGTTTCTCACCCTATCTGTCCATGGTATGCGGAACATTCTTCGCAATGTCCACATTTCGAAGGACTCCAACTTATTAATGGAAGGTACTCTTAAAGGCCATGTTTCCATGCCGTATAACAATATGGACCATACATAGCATTTAACCATACTGTAGTGGAGATTGAAGGAAAGATTGCGGTCACATAGTAGCAGTTTAAATTTGATAAAAGCTTGTCTTGCTTGTTTGATATGGCATTTTATTTCTTGTTGAGAATCCCATTGGTCATTCATCATCATTCCCAAGTATTTAAATGTTTTTACTTGATCAATTGGAGCACTTCTTCCACACTCAGAGCCTTCCAGTGCCTCTGCAAAAATGTTCTCTACATAGAGATTGAAGAGCATAGGAGACAAAATACACCCCTATCGCACCCCTCTTAAAATTTCAAATTCTTCTGTGTTGGTTGATTTGTTCAGTCTCGCTCGTGCTTTTTGATTCCAATAGAGATTCTGGATAACTCTTATATCTTTATAAGAAGTTATCTTTAAAATATTTAAGAAGTATCTTAAAAAAAAGCAGTAAAATTATTTTTAATATTAAAACCACCTCAACACATAATTTACTATAACGACTCTCTAAGAAGTTTTTAAATAAAATTCAGCATATACAATACATACCTCTAATTCCTGGTCGGAAATACTATAAGCAGCCACTAGTTCTTCCACAAGACCGTCCAACCTTCCTATTAGAGCCGACAAAGCTACAGCTGCTCCTGACACCGAACTTCCTTGATGGACCAAAAGTTCTCGGCTTTTTGTTTCTAATACTCCCAATCGTGCTTGAAGACTCATATTTTCCTGTCTTTTCTGGTCACTCTGTTTCATCTGTAACAAAAGTTAATTTAATATTTAAGAGTTTAAGATGTAAGTACTTAGTAGAGTAAAAATATTTTTTAACAATAAAACACGATTTCTCCTTGCTCAAAATAGATGATACATTGGATATTCTTTCAGCATATGCTAGAATTTCGATTTCGAACACAGGCTATACGTATTAAATATTCCCGAATTGTTAACAGGAACTGGGGGACTCATTTAGTGTTTACCGAATGACAGAATGTCAGGAAGTTCGGGATAATCTGTTCTGTCTTCGTTCGATGCTGCAATTAAATCATCTATCCATGAAACAATTGAGAAAGCATTTAAAGGAACGAGATAAGTGAAGCACAAACAGTTGTAATAAGTCTAGATCCAACACTGAAAAAATGGTTAAAAAAGAATCGATACATTACAATGATATTCTAATTGTCACCGTTTGATCGGAAATCTCAGTGGGTCATTTATCCTAGATAATTTGAAGTGATTGCAACAACCAACCATTAGACAGACGAAAAAAGACTGCAGTTTTACAACAGCATATGCTAGAATATCGATCGATTCCTATGAGCCAAAAAAAATTACTACTTGATGTACTACTTATGATACGGTTAGCTTACCTTGAAGACCCCAATACCATTTTAAAAGAAACAGAAGTAAATACGTTCGTCAATGGTTTGAGAGAAATTGATTTACAGAAAGTTTTACGATAAGCAAGATCAAAATTATTCGATAAATAACTTTGCTATTGCTTTCAAATATGAAACACCATGTGGTCACTTATTTCTACTCATCGGAGAAGAGGACGAACAGAAGGCTAAAGATCTGAAAGATCTGGCCCGAAAAATAATTCGAGAAAGGATGCCGAAGAAACGTGAGACCAGATGTTGCATTTGTTGCTAAATAGGGTCGACATAAAAGGGCAATCATCGACCCCGAGAAGTAAGGTACCTGTAATTAGTATTAACATAACGTCTTCTCGTGGAGTTGATAGCTTGTAAATAGATGGACGTATCGATAATTAGATTGTCACCACCATCAATACAACTTACAACAGAAACCGGCGAACTTAAAACCTGTATGTAGGATGGTGTGTTCCTATAAAATCGATTTGTTCTGTGCCTATCGCTGACCAACCCTCAAAGTCAAAGTATCCGAAAGAGATAGCTGATATGATCATTAATACATACCAAGATCTTGACAATGAACAGATACGAAAAGTAAAGGCAATACTGGTAAAATTCAACCTTTTTGCCACAGATGAAATACATAGAAGCAAAAGACGCATTGTGATCCATAAAATCAATACCGGAGATGTTGAGCCAATCAGACATTAAGCAAGAAGACTTCCGTTTGAAAACCAACGAGACGAAGCTAAAGAAATTATTATATATATGAGCTAACAATAGTCGTCATTGAAACATCAAATAGTCAGTGTAGTCTTGGTAAAGAAAAAACTGGTTCAACTACTGTCCGCTCAATGTAATAACAAAAATAATATAGTTACACCTTGCTCATAATGGACAATACATTGGATATTCTCTCTCGATCTCTTTGGTTCTCTACAGTTGACTTAAAAGTGGTTACCTGTAGCTTTCGCCACCGAGAATGTTAGAAATTTTTAATTGAGATGGTAAGAGCTAAGAAGGGGGCAGTGTAAAGAAGTCAGTATCACCTGCCGAGTTGATGGATAAGTTCAGCAAGATCCAGATATTATCAAACACGGGCGATACGTCTTAAATATTCCCGAACTGTAAACAGAATTCAGAGAAATGATCTAATATTTACCAGAATTCTATAGAATTTATTTCTGCGCTATATAAACAAAGGTTATTATTAACGAGCTGTAGTATTTGAGCAATACTTTTTAGAATGTCGATAGATTTGTACAACATTTAAATAATTTATTACTTACTAATCTAGTAATTTCCTCCTGTTTCGCCGCCAGCTCCTTATTCTTACTCTTTATCAAAACATGTTGTCTTTGAACTTCAGCCTCAGATTCCTTCAATGCGTCGTGAAGTGTTGTTTTCTCTGCCTGCATGAAGTCCTGCAGTTCCAAACTTTCCAACTCTAAATCTTTTTGTTGTTGAACCAGCGTCCTTTGTATGGCGATGTTCTTTTCCAAATCCATCTGCAGCGTTCGGCATAGTGCGTTTAGTTTGGATATTTCTTCTTCTTGTCGGATAACGACTTCGCCAACGTTTTGGAATTTGGTTTCTAGGACTAGAAGGCTGTCGTTGTGATTTGATTCTGAATCTGAAATAAATAAGTTGGATCAGTAAAATTTAAACACGCATATATCGTATATTTCAAGTATTGATGTATTTGTGAAACAGGTCAACAAATCCGAACGATAAGATTGGAGTGTAAATTTGCATTACAAACGTCGTTTAATTATGACCAGAAACTAAACAAACATTAGTTTAGAATTAACAATGATTAATAATAAAGCCTAATAATAATAACTTACGTTTTGCAGACGATACAGTAATAATTACGGATAACAACAATGATTTACAGAACCTAATGCAACGCCTTAATGAACGCTGTCATGAGTACGGACTGAAGATAAATTTAAAGAAAACTAAATGCATGATCATGACTAAATCTGCACATGCAAATATCCAATTGACTATTGAAGATACTGCAATTGAGAATGTTAATAACTATAAATATTTAGGAACATGGATAACATCAGATGTAGACCAAACCAAAGAAATTAAGACACTTATTGAAATAGCACGTACATCATTTATTAAACTTAAAAAGTTTCTTTGTTGTCGGGATATAAGGTTAGAACTACGCCTGAGAATGTTACGTGTTCTCTACTCTTCTTTATGGTCTGGAAGCTTGGACACTAAAACAAGTTCATCTGAATAAGCTGGCCGCCTTTGAAATTTGGTGTTACAGAAGAATCCTACGAATATCATGGATTCAAAGAATGTCAAACATGGAAGTAACTAGAAGGATAGGAAATGAGGCGGAAATAATATTAACTATTAAAAGACGAAAACTTGAGTACTTATTACATGTGATGAGAGGGCAAAAATACGCATTATTACAACTTATTATGCAGGGCAAAATCCGAGGAAAGCGAAATGTGGGAAGACGAAGAATATCCTGGCTTAAGAACTTAAGGGAATGGTTTGAATGCAGTAGTGCAGAACTTTTTAGAGCGGCAGTCAACAGAGTCCGCATAGCCATGATGATTTCCAACCTTCGATAGAAGATGGAACTTAAAGAAGAAGAATAATAAAGCCTACTTCTTCCTCCTCGCCTCCAAGGTCTAAAGTTCAGCAAATTTTGCACATCCGTTGCCACTTCGTTCTCTGATCGTTTACGTGGCCTTACGTTTGGTCTTCCATCATACATTTTACCATGCAGAGCTCTCCGCGGCAGTCGGTCATGCTCCATCCTTACTATATGACCAGCCCATAGAAGTCTCTAGGGTATAATGATTTTAAACATTTGGTAAAAATTATGATTATATCTAGATCTCCATGTACCATTTCTGCAGATGGGTTCGAAAATCTCCCTTAGAATTTTTCTTTCCTCTAAAACTTTTTGTCATCACATCAATAATATACTATTGGTCTAATTATGGTGTTACGGAGCATAATTTTCGATTTCCGATGCACGATTTTAGAGCGGAATATGTCCCTCTAGATTGTTGCCTTTATTATTCTTTTTTAATTTCGGCTCTTTCTGTTCCCTCTGTATTTATAGACTCCTAGATGTATGAAGTTTTCCACTATTTCAACATCGTGCTCTACTTTAATTTGATTTATGACTAATAAAGCTGTAGATTTTTAAAAAGCCCGAGAAATGTTCAAATTGGTATGTCTATGCCCAAAGAAGACTACGAATTCAAAGGTTGGATAAACGGGATCAGTTTCAACCATTTGGGATATAGTTTGGCTGATATTATACAGTCCAGGATTGGACAGTAAAAATAGTAAAAAAATTCTGAATTTGTTTTATATGCATCAAGTTGCTTAAAATTTTAACAAAAGTTAACAGTTTACCATCCTCTGGGTGATGATACTTTATCCAAAAAAAATGGTATTTTAAGAACTATGGTAGCCGCTAGAATAGTTAATTATAAGACAAACATGTTCTTTAAAGTTTTTTTAAAAAGTCATTATTTTGGAGTTATTCGTTACTAAACGTTCACAAATCAGACGTCAAAAAAGCATGTTTTTAATTCGGTTTTTCACGAATAACTCCAAAACTTTAGATTATATCGGAAAAACTGTTTGTATATAAAATTAAGCTTATAAAACAAAAAGATTTGTTTTTTATTATTACCTTAAACTTACTATTTACAAAATTATGGCTGTTCGAAAGTAGACTTTTATTCATCGAATATAAAAATTCAAACATATGATGTTGAACAAGCGAAAAACGGTCCAAGTTTTTCATCAAGAAGAAACCACACAAATATTGCAAGACCTTACGAAAAGCTTTAAGATGACCAATGGAAAAAGTGATTTGTATGAAAATTAAGATATAACTAAAATAAAGTCTACTTATATTTTTTTATGACGCAGAACTTAACAAACCCACCCTCGAAAGTATCAAAACCACCCTGGTTGAAATTATTCGTTGTTCATTAACAATTTACTTCATTTATATATGTCAAAGTTTCTTAGAGAATTAGCTTTTTAGCTAAGAAACCGGCTACTTGGCGCTTCTTAGACTAATGAAATTCAATGTCTCTTTGAATTCTTTCAAACCCGCTTTTTTTCTATAAAGCTAAGACCCGATCAGTTTTATAGAAGTTTTGAAAAAGATTTGTCTAAAAAGCCGAAATTGTCAGTTTCTAAAGCAAACTTACATTTTTTTTTCTCGATTTGAATTGTATTATCCTAATAAATTAGTGTGACAAAAGATAATAATTAAAATTCAAATGCAGAAAAAATATTAGTTTGGCCTTATACCTAAGAGACTGACAATGTCTGCTTATCAGACAAATATTTTCCAACACTTAGATAAAAATGCTTCGGTTTCAGCTTTATAGAAAAAAAGTGGGTTAATTATATGACGCAAGAGAAACTGACGATTTTAACTTTATAGACTAAAACGTTCGAAAATTGTCTATAAAGCTGGATTTTTCAGTTTTATAGAAGATACATTCAATTTCATTAGTCTAAGAAGCACCACTTACCACTTAGCTAAGTAGCCGGTTTCTTAGCTAAAAAGCTGATCCTCAAGAAACTACGAAATATATAAATATAACATTCTGGAAGTTTAATTGGTTTAGAAGGATTAGTATTAAAAAAATTCGAGTTTAAAATGATGACACTAAACTCTCAAAAAATCCCCTTTATTCAATATAACTCAACAACTAAAAAAGGTACAAAAAAACTGTTACAATACAAAGAACAGCTATAAAGATTTCAATTTTTTTATTTAAACAAACTAAAAATTTAACGGGAAATGAATGGCTTAAATGTTGTATTCGCATGCGTTTAGCTCCATCTGAGGAAGCCTTGTAACTGGCTACCTGCATCGCGAGAGTTGGAAATCTTTTGATTCCAAGCCTTACTTCAAAGGACTTGTGAATGGATGCATCTCCATAGGTTTGGTTCTTCAGTGACCGTTGAAGGATAATGATTCTTTCTTAATGTGAGCAAATATAGCTCCAGGGAAATAAAATCACTTTTGAGTTTATCGATTTATAATTAAATCTTTTAAGAGTAGAGATGCCCAACACGGCCGTAACTTACTATACAATATCAAATGTACTCTTTCTTTATAACACGTAAAAGAAACACCGTGATGAGAAAATGCCCGATTTCGGCGGAGAGAAATATTTAATACGTGAATTGCGAGTTCTTAACTACTCGCTGTGATGACTCCATGGCCATGTGTCAACTTGAACTGAGCTGATAAAAAACTACATAATGCGTAAACGGGAAGGTTGCCCTTATTTTATTTAGGTGTGAAAAATATTTAACAGGGTCCGACGTCAGATGCCAGGGTGTCGCGTTCAAACGATAAAGTAACTGTTCTAGTTATTCTACACTAAGAAAAGTCAAAGAATTACATTTTTATTTTATATTTTAAAAACAATATGTTCATTTCTGGAATACCATCTTCAAGCCTTTTTTCCAATTTTTTTTCAAAATTAAACAGTTCAATTTTCAGAATATAATGTTTGTTATCAATGTAAATTGTAAATAAACAACGAATACCTTCAACCAGTGTGGTTTTGGCGGGGGTGGGTTTGTTACTTTTTCTGCGTCACAAAAAGTTAAGCCGACTTTATTGATTTTAGTTATAACTTACCTTAATTTTTATGCTAATTACTATTAACCGTGTCATTTTAAAGATTTGTATTTATTTTTTTTTAAAGCCCTTTTCGCTATTCGGATTGCCGAATATAGGCCTCTCCTCATTCTCGCCATTCATCCCTGTTGTTTGTAAGACGTTTCCACATTGGCCCTGCAGGTCTTTTAATATCGTCGCTCCATCGCATTTGCGGTCTTCCTCGTGGTCTTTTGGCTTCATATGGCCGCCAATTCCCGATTTCTTTATTCCATCGGCCATCCGTAAGACGTTCGTTATTTCCAGCCCATTTCCATTTCAGTTAAGCTGCCTGTTCGACAGCATCTATTACTTTTATTCTATTACGAATGTCTTTATTAGTTTTATGGTCTTTGAGTGAGATACCCAGCATCTGTCGTTCCATAGCTCTCTGAGTTTTTGAGCTCCATATGTAAGCACAGGTAGGATACAGGAATTGAACACTTTGGTTCGCAGTCTTTGAGGTATATTTTTGAGTTTACAATATCAGATTTACTTTTTTCTAGTTGTCCTTGTTAATTTTTAATCGTTATTATGTTTTTCTTTCCTAGTTTCGGTTTGGTGCATTTGAGACTTCGATTTTTCTCTATGATTTGTTCTATACGGTCTTCTTGATGTTTTTTAATGTCCTCTTTCATCTGTTTTCTTATTATTCGATTAAGTTCCTTAAATGCTGCAAAGTCTATTTTGTTTTGTCTCAGAAGATCTTTTCTTTGTTTCAGCATGTTCTGTGATTCTACACTTATTCTGGATTTTCGTTTTCTGTTAGCGGTTGCCACTTCTGAGCTTGTATTTAATAGTTCTTTTGTTATGACTTCATTGATTTCATTTAAGCTAAGTTTATCTAGATTTATTACTTTCGCAGGATTTAACTTGCTTTTATATTGTTCTGTATTAGATTTTAGTTTATCTTTGTCTATATTCTAAGTTTTTCTAAATTTAGATAA